ACGATGAGGTTGAAATGCGCCCTGCAATAATCGATGTGCATGTGCGTGGGAAACGCCCCACAGATGGTTTGGTTTGTCTTCCATAGGGGTCCGCTTGCCCTTTCTGTCGCCGTTTTAACGAATAGGGTACACGGTACCTGCCTTTGTGTGGAGCGGTGGTGGGGTGTATGTGAGGTGATGCGCATAGTGTGCTCTTTTGGTGCGATGATTACAATGGAATTTCTTTGCTACAGGTGATCCTTTTGAGGAAGTGACCTTGATTCCTATCAAACAACCAAGATCAATGAGCCCATAAGTGGCACGGATGCGCTCGGGTTGGGTGTGCTTTTCTCTCCCCCTTCTTCGCTTTCGGCTTTGTTCCCGTCCCCTGTGTTTCGACCGCGTGCACGCTGCTGTGCGGAGCATTCGTGCTGCGTGGGGAAGCGCATGCTGAGTTTCGATATGATTACAAAAACGGATTACACACGAGTCAAACCAATTTTACTTCACCTTGAGGGCTTGACCTGTGCAGACAATGTCCCCCGTGTCTGATCGTCTCAGCGTGTTTCTATCGCGCAGCGCTGTTCACAAGGCGAGCCATCTCGATCAGCCGACAGCGTACTTCTCTTCTTCACTTGTGCATTCTCGTCTGACGGGTTACTTGAACTGCGTGGTGCATGTGCCTTTTGTACGTATTTTCAGGTCTCTGTAATCCATTTTTTATTTTTTTTAAGTATTATTTTTCGTTTATGATTAGAGTTCCTGCAGATTGGCGTTGCGCTCGATACGACTCCTTACTTGTTCAATTGAACAATGATCGCTACTTCCTCTGTCGTTCCGTTATAATAACTGTACCCACTACCGTTTTTACTTTTAGTATGAAGGTGCGTGTGCCCAGTGATGTAGCTCGCCGATTATTGAAAAGCCAGGATGTTGAGGAGTCTGAGGAGAAGGTTGTACGATGGATCGATCAATTGAATGCTGACGCGACGCGGTCCTACACAGTTTGCCGCATGGATCAACGTGCGAAGGAGGAGTTCCCTATGGATGTGGCAATTCTACAGTTTTATTGTATGTCTCGAACGTGTACGCTACAAACTGTAGTTTGCAGAGGGTTGAGGCTTGATGCACGGGCTACAATTGCTCTCTTGTCTGCTTCCCTGATGGGTTGTTATGTGATACCTGATTGTATAGTTGACACCGCGAATGGCTCCTATCAAATTGTTCAAATAGAAAAGAAGTCGGGCACTGGTCTCGGTATGGTTGTGAGTGGTTGTCGAGTTCGGCTCAACGACAGCTCCTCTGTTTGTGTCTGCGGTAACCGTGCTCCGCTAAGCCGCCCTGTTGGATTGGAGGATGCGCTAGAGCAGCTTGAGATGGTCCTGTCGATGGCTGAGAAGGATATGAGAGAGGCAGTTGGTATCTTGGTACACGGACCCAGGGGCTGTGGGGTGGGGAATCTGATAGCTTATTGTTTAAGGTCACGGCCTGAAATTGAGTTGTTGCCATGGACTACTTCCTTTGATGCCTCTTTTGTGGGACGGAAGATTCGTGGCGCAACTGTGGCACTGTACCTCCCTTCCTGTGAGCGTTTTTTTCCTGCTTACGAAGACGATTTAGCGCGACTTACGCTTCGTAAACTTTTGAAAGATGCAAGTTTACTTGTGGCAGGTGTTAATGGTCATAGCCTCTCTGTATTAGTGATTGCATCTACACACCGGCTTGGTTCTCACTGTGCTATAGATGTTCTAAGGTCTTTCTTCTCTGTGAGCATTTGCTTATCTTTGCCTGACGTAAATCAACGTGCAGCTCTTTTTGCCTCTGTGCGAGGTGGCCAACCAACGGACTGGATAACTAATGCACAGGCACTTATTGGAAAAACCTCTGCTGATGTGTTGAGCATTGCGAAAGCCGGAGAATGGAGGTATAGACCTCCTTTCAAAGAGGTCCGCTGGGGTAGTATTGGTGGCCTCCGTGAGGTCAAGGAACGCCTGCATCGCGCCTTAGTTTGGCCGCAATGCCACCCGGAAGTGTTCAAAAAGTTTAACCTCTCGCACCCCAAAGGTATCCTTTTGTATGGTCCACCAGGTTGTGCAAAGACGACACTGGTGAAAGCGTTATGCTCGGAAGGGTATTTTTCTTTAATCTACTTGGACTCTGCTAGTGTAGTGAGCGCTTACGTTGGCGAAAGCGAGCGGCGTTTGCGCGATGTGTTCACTCAGGCCTCGCAGCGAACCCCATGCATTGTCTTTTTTGACGAGGTGGAGGTGATTGGAGCTAAGCGAGAGAATGGAGCGCATCAGACTGAGAGCGTGCGGCTGCTCTCGACATTGCTTACAGAAATGGACGGCTTCACGGCGTCACATGGGGTCTGTTTTGTCGGTGCTACTAATGTTCCTCATCTTGTCGACTCTGCGTTACTGCGACCAGGGCGCTTTGATTACTTGGTGTATGTTCCCCTTCCATCGGCCAAAGATAGGGAAGAGATCTTATCACTTCATCTGGGGTGTGCTGCTGTAGACGTGGGTGTGCTTGCGGCGTTGGCAGACGGCTTTAGCGGGGCGGATTTGGGTGCACTCTGCACTGCTTCCCTCCTGGAGTTACTGGAGAAAAATGCAACGCCACCAGCTTGTTTTTATGACACAGAATATATGATGCCTTTCATGAAGAACAAAATCCAGTCGTTCCAGAAAAGCAACTACGACACCGCCGCCCTTGAAGAGTTCCACCGTAAGCATGCTTCTGCATAATTATGAGCAACTACTAAAGGGTAAACTTATCTAAAAATAACAACCAAGAATGAGTCTAATCGGAAGCGTGGTCAGTTTACTTCAATATGCCTTTTTGAAGATGTTTTTCACGTTTTCCCCATATCGCTTTTCTTTTTCTTCCCATTCCTTAAGTCCTTCGAATAGATAAAAGGTTATGCGATCAGCTCGCATCGTTGAGTTACAAACCTTGGAGGGCGCTTTATGGATAGAGCTTTACGATGGTTCTGCGGCGGAGCTTTCTGATTCCTTCTCCAGGCTTGCCATGAGCGGGCAGCTGTGCGGTCCTGTCTTTACCAGGCTAATTCCTGGCTTCATGCTGATGGGCAACGCGTTGGGCTTTCAAGGTGGTCCTGTGTTGGGTCAGTTAGCGTTGCACTCTCTGGCTTCCTCTGGAACACCCAACCTGCATCATGTGGGCGCTGGGTTGCTGACATCCAGGGTGGTTCCCGGTGAGATACCTACTGCATCATTTGCTATAACGCTCTCGCCGCAGCCCAAACTCGACTCCCACTACACCATATTTGGCCGTGTGTACTTAGGAATGTCGATTATTGAAAAGATTAGCAAAATGCAAGTTAATGAAAACTTCGAACTGTATACACCGCTTGTTGTGCAGAGTTGTGGGATTCTGCGACTTCCAATGCGGAAAAGGCCACCAAGCAGGTACGCTGAGTCTGAAGGTACGGACACTTTCAGTGCGGTGAAGGTGCTTCACGTTGCGAAGTCCAGTCTCCTTCAGGCCCTTGTTGCTGATTAAATTACTATTAAAAGGCTCACCATACCCTCATTAATCGCGACCGATGGAGTATCATTTTATATATGTATTCCCCCTTTCTGTTTTTGTTTTTGGATTTCTGCATCCGTTCGAAAATATACCTTTCATATATGGTCATCGATTTTCTTCACATCAAAAGTCAATAACCAAAAAAACGTATTAACAAAGAGAAATCTTAATGGCCACATTACCCCCTTGTGATCCTGAGGCATTTCTTTTTGGAATGCTTGGCGCCGCTGCCTCGTTAGCTTTAGCCAATGTCGGGGCGGCTTACGGAACTGCAAAGGCGGGTGTAGCGGTTGCGCAGCTAGGTATTGTTCAGCCCAACCGAGTTATGCGTGGCATTGTTCCCGTTGTCATGGCGGGTATTTTGGGTATTTACGGTCTCATTGTTTCGGTAATTATCTGCAACAACATGAGGGCATCTGGGTATTCGCTTTTCTCCGGTTATATGCATCTTGGCGCTGGTCTGGCTGCGGGTTTTGCGTCTCTTGCTTCCGGCTATGCCATTGGTATTGTTGGCGATGTGTGCTGCTACGCTTACGCTAAAACGGAAAAAATTTTTGTCCCCATGATTCTTATGCTTATTTTTGGGGAGGCACTTGGACTATTTGGCCTGATTACGGCTCTATTAATGAGTGGTCGCGCAAACGCTGCTGTTGGTCGATGCAAGTAAATCATTTCAACATCTTCATGAGATGGATATTTCTCCGGTATCTCGCTCCAGTTATTCAACGTCTCTTTCTTCATGTAGTTGTGGATGGATATTTGTGCGTGGATTGACAACTAGAGAGTGTATTACACTTCTATTTTTAAGTGCATTTTTCTCTTTTCTTTTCATTTTATAGTGGATTCGATTTTATCCACGTGTGGCCATCCTGTCTCCACTGAACCCGAAATATTAGGCTTCCTGCCGATGAAGCAAACGATTACAATCCGTGTTCCTTTTTTCTTTTGAGCAATAATAAAATTTTTATTCTGTATTAAGTGTTTATCCCACCCTAGTGTGCGGAACTGCGACGTTTATTTTTACACTGTACATCATTGACTATGCAAAATGTGGGCCCAAACATATCGGCAAAAGTGTTCATCCTGTGGCGTGGAGCCGCGCGAGGAAGTCCTCCGAGTTGAAGATGGTAGGATTGTATTTCCAGGTAGCACGTTGGAGCTCTTCCACTCTCGACTAACGGACGAGGATCTACACGCTATTCTACAAGCTGCCGTGTCGAGTTTACCATTAAGTGAGTTAGTTCTGCCGTACAACAATATTACTTCCGTTGGTTGCAAATACCTTTCGGAAGTCCTGCGGCGTGATCTGAATACAATAATGGTGATCGACCTTTCTTATAATTCGATCGAAAGTGATGGAATTGATGAATTGGCAAACGCATTGGCATCTAACCGAAGCGTGATTCAGCTGAACCTTTCTGGCAATCCGCTTGGGGGCTCTTGTGGTGATGCCTTCGCATCAATTTTAAAGCAAAATTGCTGTCTGAGTACACTTGATCTGCATAGCATAGATTTAAATCTCAATGCACTCATTCCCATATGCCATTCCCTTTCCCAGAATACTGGGCTCAGTACTTTGCGCCTTGGTAGACCGCTCATTAGTAACCCCGAGGACATAAACTACGCGGCCCATTATATCGGTCTTGGCCTTCGTGAAAATGTAACGCTACGGGAGTTGGATCTGAGCTACTTTAATATGTACGATAGACATTTTGAGTCCTTACTGCCTTCATTGTCCCTTTGTGGAATTATTCGACTTTCTTTGAAGGGGAACAAGTTTTCCCCTGGGGCAGGTCCTTTACTTGCTGAATTGTTAAACGCACGCGATAATTTCGACACGTTGGATATCAGTGCGAACCGGCTAGGTGACGTGGGTGCTGCGGCACTAGCTCACGCTGTTGGCCAACACACCAGCTTGCATGCGCTATTCTTAGGCAACAACGGGATCGGTGAAAAGGGTTTAGAGGCGTTGGCAGAGGGTGTCAAGAATTGTGCTTCCTTACAACGGCTAGAGCTTTGGGGAAACGCTCTTGATACCCCTGCAGCGGCACGCATGATGTTTTGCATACATGAGAAACTTGATCGTCTTGAGTACACAGACTTCAAGGTATATTTTGTGGATGGTAGCCCTGCAATTTACAAGACATCTTAGATGGAAGCTCTATATGTACATTGTGTTATGTAAATTTGAAGAGCAGGGAAAGAGAACAAAGCACAAGAAACTATTCCCATCCAATTCGTATTCAAATTGAAAACTACTCTGTCATGGTAATACTTTTGGATCCCTTTTCTGATGTCATGGTGCACCGCTGTTTTACTTGAACCCCTTCTGTATGCTCACCACTTTCATGTGCACTCGAAAATTTTCTATTATTGTTATTTTTACCCATCGTAGAGGATACTTGGTGCTTATTATCTGCTTCAGGTAAAGTATGGTAGCTCTACCAACACAGAACCAGCTCTACGCTTTTTACATTTCACGCTGTGCGCACCACCGTGTGGGTAAACCAAACAAACAGGTGCTTGATCTGCTTTATGAAGATGAGCTTAGTCGACTGTCATGGCAACAAGCTGAAGCTGAAGAGCACCACATCTCTTTAGAGGAGCTCCGTGATATTGAGGGGGACACTTCCTTCACTCCACAGACTAACGATACCCCATTGTCGCTGAAAACGACGTTTAGACTGCCAAGCTCCCTATTGGACGATGGACCGGTCCATGTCGGAGCTCGCGGCATGCTTGCTATTCTAGATCTCATTCAGGAGCTGCCGTTGCTTGAGGAAGTGGATCTATCCAACGTGACCTCGTGGTATATCGTTGATGCGTCTGCTCACACAAGGAGTGGCGCACCGGACGGGAATGCGGTGGTCAAGCGACTATGCGAGGTGGCTAAGAGACTACCGGCGCTGCGCAAGCTTGATTTGTGCACGCAGCCCATCGGGACGATGGCCGCCCACGATTTGCTCGATGCTATTCAAAGCTGCCGGCGCCTCGTGGAGGTGTCTTTTTGCCGCAAAGCGGTAGCGTGCAGCCTGTGCCTCACTATCGATGAGGCTCTCGATAAAAATCGCGAGGCGTTTGCGCAGTTGCCTCCCCCTAGTCTCCCAGAGACTTTACCCCCATATTTATCCCGTATCCTGCCGTTGGATCGCAAGACATTGCGTGAGCAACAGCAGCTTCGCTGGCTGCTTATGGAAGATGTTAACTTTACCGGTGCGGTGACCGAGGAAGAGCTCAGTGAGATAGTTCTGCATGCGCGTTTGATGAGCACTAGTGAGGTTGTCTGGCGTTGCAGCAAAGGTGGGCTGCGCGGGGACGGTGTGCATCTTTTCGTACTGAAGGATGGTTCTCTTCGAGCTTATCCTGATCTAGAGGGCCTCAAGCTCAGTCGTGGCGACTATTTTGGTGATACCTATGGACACGTGATCATGTACCCATCGAGCAGTATTGTCGAGACGGATCGAGGTGTTGTGTACGCAATTCCGCTGGAGTGCTGCCGCACTTTATTAGGGGTATGGAAAGAACGAGTCTCTAAACTTTACTCTCAGTTGCGTTCGTTTCCAATTATGCAGGTGGTAGACACATGGACTCGTGTCCGCCTCTGCACATGCTCCCAGGTGCAATCCTACAAGCCGGAGGAAATCGTGCTGAACGTTGGCGACTGTAAGCAGGCCGTATGGATTGTCTGTAGCGGCTTCTTTGAGGCTTCGGCTGGGACGATGGAGGATAAAGTGGCAACTGGTCGCTATGAAGCCCACCGGTTTGTCAAAGCAGATGTGTTTGGTATTGAAAGCATCGTTGCTCGTAAGGGTTGTAGCTCGGTCACCATATCGGCGGGAAAGGAAAAGACGACAATTTACTCCGCTGCAGTGGTGCGCGGCTCCGCCATTCGAATTATTTCAAACAGTATACGAAGCGTATTCGTGTCTCTTGCACGTCCATATTCCCTCCATGATGATCTACGTCGTATTGCCTCGAAGGATTTGGAGCGTGGCGCCTGCTTTTCGATTATCTGATGAGTCTTGCCGTTTATGTTCGAGTGTATTTTGAGTTTCAATGATAACCTTTGTCTTGGCACGCATTCGCTGCTTATCCCTCACATTGTGGTCGTTGAATGATGGAGTGCGTCAATGTCTATTAGTCTTCTCAGTAAGTTGTCGATAGGAGATCTAAGAATCACTAGTCAAAGCCTCACAGCAATTATCTAATTTTGTTTGCTTGTGTTCTCACGAAGCACTAAGTTTTGTGCGTGCAAACAGTCGTAGGATAAAATGTTCCCATGGAATTTGTAGGAAGTTGAATAAAAATGGCCACTGCACTGCTGTAGTGGGTGTACTCCAGGAGTGCGGAGAAAAGGTGCATGAGTTGCCTCTATCAACTGTGTTGGCAAAACTCACTACCCCAACCATATGTAAGTTGAAATTATTCGCTTATTTTTTATTGCTGAGAATGTAAAATAAGGTAATACCTAGACAGGGGTGTGGAAAAGTAGCTTAGTTCTGGGGCAGTCTTACTTTTGCCATTTTAAATATTTTCATTGCATCAATAGCTATGCTTCCTCCTTTATACACGTTTTGCTTGATTAATACACTACGCAATAATTGTAAAAGAAAGCGATGGGGCAGAGAAGGGGGAGCACTCGCCCGCATATATGCTCAAGAAATTGATTATAGCTAATACCATAGCATTCTGGAGTCGAGAAGGATAAATTACAACGTCGATTTGATTCATAGTAACTCCTTCAAATGATTTTGCCAAAATATATTCGATACCGAGGCAGGGGAAGTAGACATACTGTACATATTCGAGTTTGATCAAATCGTCAAGAAGACCTGGGCTCTGCTTATTTTGGTGGGTACAGTTGGATTTTGTCTTAACAATATGTCGAGTTGGCAAAAGGATAGAATTAGATTTAAAAATGAGTAACTACACAAGAAGCACGTTGTGGTTACAATCAGGTAGATTGATCAAATACGGACCGAGATAAATGACATCAAGGTGCCTTAAAGTCCATAGAATGTTTCTGATTAGATAATGTGAGGGGCTTGCTAAAACAACTTGGACTTAGCAAAGACAGGTAGAAAAGTGTAGAGTGAAAAGGTAAGTATATTTCATGACAAAGGATACCTTTCTTACTTCGTTTGCAGACGACACTTGAGCTAGCCTGGATATTGTGAGAGTTAACAAAGAATTTTCAATGTGTTAACATGCACCTCCGAGCTGGGAGCGGTCATGAGTTTTTCTCAAACACCAACGACCCATTCCCACGCAGCGATAATAGTGCACTTGTTCGTTGCGCCAGGGGCATAACTCGGATCGCTGCCTATTACGAATCTAATAGGCAGTCGACGAAAATGAGATGCTGTTGTTCTCACAAAGGCCTCAGCTTATGTGTTGTCATTTTCCAACCCGATGTCACCTTTCCATACTCTGCTTGCTCTTTCCGCTACTCAGTTATTGTCATTATAACACCTATGAGTATTTTCCTTTCCACCCTTTCACTGGGTAATATTTAACACCTTTTGCTTAGGAGTTTTGTGCTTATTCGCGGCCTACGCGATGGATAGGGATGTGTTCTTCCTTCAGGACTCGTGGACTACGCTGGCGGTAGTGCGCAGCATCCGAGGGCGCTGCCGCCACAAGCGCAATCGCGTCGCCCGCTACGTTGTCCACGGTCCCGTGGCGCAACGTGTCTTTCGACTGGGAGGTGGCGGGCCTCGCGCTGAGATAGCTTCGGCGCTTTTTGTGGGCCTCTATTGTGAGTCCCACGCCGCGGTGGTGGAGGTGTGGGTAGGGCAGCCAAGCCTCGGTCAACTTTTCTATGACGGGACCATGTTCTCCGCTCGCATAGCTCAGGCGGAACTCGTCCGACAATACGCATGCTATTGCCGTATAGCTAAGCTACAGACGATTGGTGGTGGATGGGCATCGCTGCGGGAGTCTAGACGTGCTATGCAATGTGCGATCGAACTGTTTAACGTGGCTACCGCCGTCGGCAACGAGGTTATTGCGAGCAACTGTCGCGTTTTTGTTGGCTGGGCGCTCTTATGGTCTGGAAATACTCGGCAGGCCCTCAAACTGTTTAAAGCTGAAAAGCAGTCTGCATGTATGCGTAAGGACCTGGAGCAGCAGAGGCGGTGTGAGAACGCTATTATCAATGCCAGGACGAACACTACACTGAGAAGACACGCCCAGTCGCACGTGCACGATAGGATGCCACAGCAATGGGAGCTTGGTGGGTGCACAAGTGGTAACAGTTCAGTAACTTCGGCTTAGGGCACGGAGATCTTTATTTAGCTATATATGTGGGAGCAATGCGCGTGTGGGTTTCCAAAGCACAAAGCAATCATATATTTTAGCGAATGCTCAGAGAGCTGCCTGTATAACTTCAGGGATCCCACTGTTGCGGATAAAGGCCATGGATACCGCAGAAACTAGTCTACCGATGTCAACGTAGCCTTGTGCTGCTTTGGGTTAAGTGCTACATGGTAACGGAAGTCCGATTTGCTACGAGCAGATGCATATATACTTGTGCACGTGCACATGCACATAATTTCTGAAACGGGCGACTAAATCGTGTGCCACTAATAATGCAAACATTCTTGTACCTTTTGGGCTACCATTCTCCATTTTCAAATTCTAGTAGATCTTAGGGGCAGCTTTTGACAGCGTGTGGGCCATATATTTTTTGTTTATGCGCAAGTAGTCGTAATAAGGACATACATACGTTGAGTTTGATCCAATGATGGACATGTCGAATGACGCAGTGCACACTATCACACCGGATCAGGAACTTTATGTGCTGAAATTGATTCTCAGCTTACGAAGTCTCGGTGACATTGGGGCGAGCGAGAGGCTCCGCTCAAGCGTTCGGAAGGCTCTGATGCGGAGTGAGGACGACCATGATGCAGGTATTGCGGTGGACGAAGCAGTCCGCCGTGCGAGGAAGACGGAAAGTAAACTGGATGGCAGCTATGATAAGGCACGCGAGCGCAAGCGTCAAAAGCGCGAGGAAGAGCGTGCACGTGCGTATAGGTACGTGGACGCCGAGGCTGAGACAGGCGACGATAGTGAAGGTACCGATGAAGAGCAAGAAGTGATGTCGTAATGAATGGAGCTACACACATCGCGCTTTGTAATACCTGTGGTGTGTGTTTTAGTTCCTCTGACGAATGTGGATTGGTGTTCACGAAGGGTGGATATTTTAGCCGATTCAATGAGTGCATTTTCCCTATTTATTTGCTATTTTTGTGGTTAAAATGGTGAAGGTGCACCTTGGAAGGGGATCAATGAGATACATTCTTTTAGATGTGCTCTAATTTTTCTACGTTGCCCATTCCTCATACTAAGGCAAAAGCATACATTGTAGTAATTTTTTTCCTTTGATATTTTTACATTTGATCCATTTGTATCGCCTACATCCCAAAAATGACCGGTCGTGTTGAGGCTACTCTCGCAAAGCTTGCCATTAAGCTCCCGACGCCGGCAGCGTCTGTGGCAAACTACATGCCGTTTGTTATCTCTGCGGGGCAACTTCATATCTCAGGCCAACTACCCAAGGGAGAGGATGGTAATCTGATCGTCGGCCAACTCGGCACTAACTTGAGTGTGGACGAGGGTCAGAGGGCCGCGCGTTTGTGCGGTATCAGTATCGTATCGCAGATAAAAGCCGCCCTTGGTGATCTTGACCGCGTTAAGAAGGTGGTGAAGATCAACTGTTTCGTTAACTCCTCTGGTGAATTCACAGGGCAACCCGCCGTTGCTAATGGTTGCTCGGATGTTCTGGTAAACATCTTTGGCGAGGAGGTCGGTAAGCATGCTCGCTGTGCAGTTGGTATGGCCCAGCTCCCTCTTGGTGCCGCTGTGGAAGTGGACGCCATCGTGGAGTTCGACTGAGTGGTATATTTTGATCAGAAATAAGTATTTTTTGTTATTTTGTATTAGTGATTATCGATACTTTTTCTTTGTTTCGTATGCGCGAATAATTTTGTAGAGCCTATCGGTTATTAGTACTTCATTCCGGAAATTCCAAGTAACTTGCCCGTGTGATGCGAGGAGACAAACTGGTACCGTTTCTACCATATCCTTTGTGTATACCACCATTTCCCACTCTCGTCTGATGCGGTCTAACATATATAGCCGAGGTCTGTAAGTATATTTTTTAACATCAAGCGTTTTGCTTTGGGTTCCCAGGAAAAATGCTTCAAGAGAACCCTGTTATTATGGACATATCCGATTCCGAGGAAATGTACCCGAGTAATGGTGCCCTCCATGGTTCTGAGGACACCGTACCCAATAACAAAACCACTGAGGCGTTGCTTGAGCGAAAGAAGCAGTATGATGTAAGTTACGTAAGGCTGAGAATGTTTGTCGAGCGGCTGTGGGGACCCCAGAACCCATACAGCCCAACGGAGCGGGATCGTGCCTCACTGTTCAAAGATTTGTTCTACGGATGGATCTACAAGACGATGAAGATTGCGGTAAAGGAAAACTTACACGAGGAAGTGCTGCCACCGCCGCCGTACGAGTGCCGTGCGCGTATGTGTGGTATGAAGCTATCGTCCGCTGTCCAGGATAGGTTGTACGTGCGCAATGCATGGAGCTGCCTGTTGGGTGCCGAAGTCGTAAGCCGCCTGGACCCGATGAGCAGGGGGACGCTGAGGTGGGTTGGGGTGCCGCAGCAGGGCGGTTACACACGGCTGATGGCAGGTGTTGAATGGAGGGTAGTTCCGGCTGTACGCCTCGCGCAGCACTCGACGAACGCCGAGCAGACACCGCTCTTCGACGGTGTAGTACATGGTGAGCATCTTTTCAACCCAACGCGACCACAGATGTCAACACTCGAGGAGTGCGCAGACATAGAGTTTGTGTTTGCGCCGCGTTCAACGGGGTTTGGGAAGACCATCCCCATGCCAAAGCAGCTGACCACTTTCAGAACTCTGGTTAAAGTGTTGCCAAGGTTTTTTTGGTGTCAGTTCCCACTGAAGTTGACTAGTGATATCCTAACACTCATCATACCGTTCATTTTGAAGCACTATGTGAAGTTTTTGGAAGCGAACGACGGGGACATGTGGATGGTTGGCGCGGCTTTAGCGCTTTGTCTCTTTCTCGTGCAGCTTCTTCAAAGCTGCGCGTTGAATAGGTATTATTACCGGAGTATTGAGTGCGGCCTGCAGTATCGTTCAGCCTTGTCTATGCTCCTTTTTGAGAAGTGTTTCCTGATTTCAAAGAAGGCCATGTCACATCCCAAGGTCAACGTGGGTCATATCGTCACTCTTGTCAGCACTGATGTCGAGAACGTGAATTTATTCATGCAACATTTCATGTATTTGTGGAGCTCTCCATTCGTTCTCATCGTGGCGATTGTTCAAATGAGCCGGCTGGTAGGAGTGTGCTGTCTGATGGCTGTCGTTGTTTTTCTTGTGTCGCTTCCGTTTATGACGTTTTTGACGAAGTGGCAAGTCCAGGCATCTCGTAAGCGTGTCGTGGCGACCGACGAACGTGTGAAAGCGACGAATGAGTTCTTCTCTGGCATTCGGGTAGCCAAATTTGTGACGTGGGAGGCCAAGTTTATCAGTAAAATCGAGGCGAAACGGGCCACTGAGGTTTACTATTTGAAGCAGGTTCAACTCAACCGAATTTTGCTATCCTTTCTGAATACCTGCACCCCAACGTTGATGATTGCAAGCGTCTTTGTGCTGTATAGCGCATTGGGGAATGAGCTCACACCAACAGTTGTCTTCCCTACAATAGCCCTGTTTGGACTTCTACGTATGCCTTGCATGATGATACCATTTATCGTTAACAGCGCGGCCCAATTCATTGTGTCCATTGAGCGTATTACGGGGTTTCTTGGGTGCAGTAATGAGGAATTGTCCGCCGTCAAAAGCATAGAGGACTATTACCAACAGCCGAGGGAAAGACGCGACTTCATGTCGCAACTGGCTGTCGTGTTTGAGTACGCAAGCGTCACGGCATACGTCCCGAGGAAGCTGCCAGAAGCACCTAAAGTAAGAATGTCAATGCTGCGGAGGCTGGGCCGGCTGTTGTGCAGCGAGCCATACAAGCCGGCGAAGCGCCATCCTCGCCCTTCAACGATCCTGAACGATGCTGAGCCTGTGTCGCCTTTGATGGGTCCTGAGACATCTAATGGTGCTGGAAAGCAGAAAAAGTCAGCCCAGCCGAAGGGTTACTTCGAGGTTTTACCGAAGGTGTTGCTGCACAATGTGAGCCTTCAGGTGCCGATGGGCAAGCTGACGATGGTGCTCGGCCCAACAGGGTGTGGTAAGTCAACACTGCTGCAGGCTATATTGGGCCAGCTTGAGGTGAGCGAGGGACGGGCATGGACAGTCAAGAATATAGCTTATGTCCCACAGCAGCCCTGGATAATGAACGCGTCGCTACGTGAAAACATCTTGTTCTTCGCGGAGGAGACTGAGCGTCTTGCAGAAGCAATTCGCGTGTCCCAATTGAAGCCTGATATAGAACTCTTGGACGACGGGCTGGAGACGGAGATTGGCGAGAAGGGTGTGAACCTGAGTGGCGGGCAGAAGGCGCGCGTGAGCCTTGCTCGAGCTGTGTACGCGGACCGCGAGATGTATTTGTTAGACGATCCCTTGTCTGCGCTGGATGCTCATGTTGGGGAGAGGGTGTTGACGGAGTGTATCTTGGGCACGCTTGCCGGTAAAACACGCATTCTAACTACTCACCAGTGGCATACCGTCCAAAAAAGTGACTATGTCATTGTGTTGGACGATCGGCATGTGGTATTCTCCGGGGAGAGTGCCGAGTTTATGGAGTCCGAGATATACAGCAGCCTCGTCAAAGGGAACATTCAACAGGACGAGGAAAATGCCGAGGAGGAAATGACTAAAGGGACCCCGGAGTCGAGGAAGAATGTGATGAATGATGTGATGGATTCCGTGCCCGATGGCCACGCTGATCGCCAATCTAAACACGCTGACAACGGCCGTGGGGGTCTCATAACAAAAGAAGAGAAGGCAAAGGGTTCTGTTCAGTGGAGCATCTACATGAGCTACGCTTTGTTTTGCGGCGGCAAGCATATTGCGGGCCTTATGGCTATGATGTATGCAATAACTGAGATCCTCAATGTATCTGCCTCTGTGTGGTTGTCTTTCTGGTCAACTAACCTCTTTGGTATGAGGCAGTCATCTTACCTTACCTTTTATATTGTGTTCATCATTCTTGGCATAGTGGTTACTCCACTGCGTTTTGCCATGGCCTTTAATGCCGCACGTCGCGGCTCTGTTAGCATGCATCGCGCGATGTTAAGAGCACTGTCGACATGCACGATGGGCTTCTTCGATAGCACGCCGCTCGGCCGCATCCTGAACCGATTTTCCCGCGATGTCGATGTAACTGATAATCAACTGCCCCTTTCGATGATCATGGCCTCGAGTACAATATTTGCCATTATTTCCTCTACACTTATCACGATAGTGGCTCAACCTGTCGCGTTGGTTGCACTGGTGCCCTGTGGGTACATCAACTACCGAATGATGAAGTTCTACAACGCTGCGAACCGTGAGATCCGTCGCACCAGCAGTATTGTGAAGTCGCCGCTTTTCTCATTATTGGGAGAGGTGCTGGGGGGTACCTCGATCATCTGCGCGTATGGCCGCGAGGGTGCGATCATGCGAGAGGCCCTACGGCGCATTGATCTGGTCTACTCCTGTAATTCTCTCGAGAACACCGCTAACCGTTGGCTGGCCGTGCGAATAGAGTTTTTGAGTAACGTCGTTGTCACAACCATTGCGACGGCGGGCGTGTTCATGGTGGCGTCAGGCCAACTGAAGGACAATATCGGTATAGTATCGCTTTCGCTGACACTTGCTTTACAAACAACAGCTCAGTTGATTTGGTTGGTGCGTTGTGTTGCCTCTGTAGAAGCGGATATGAACAGTGTGGAGCGTATCATTTACTACACGCAGGAAACACCGAAAGAGGATATGCCGGAGTTGGATGCGGAGGTGGACGCGTTAGCGAAGCGTGAGAATTCAAAGACTAACAAACAGGCTCAGGACGTCACGGTGGAGGCCCATGCCTTGCCGGTGACACCAGATTATGAGGTGCAAAGTGGTTCGCTGGAGCTCCGCAACGTTGACTTGCGATATCGAGAGGGGCTGCCGCTCGTGCTACACGGCGTCAGCTTTCGCATCGAGCCAGGAGAGAAGGTCGGTATTGTGGGTCGGACCGGTAGCGGTAAGTCAACGCTGATGTTGGCTTTCATGAGGTTGGTGGATATTAGCGGTGGGGAAATAATTGTGAACGATGCGCCGATCCGCTCTTTCCCAGTCCGGAAACTGAGGCAACTGTTTTCTATGATTCCGCAGGATCCTCTACTGTTCGAGGGGACTGTGCGGCAGAACCTAGACCCCTTTCTGGAGGCATCCGACAAGGAGTTGTGGCACGCGCTGAATCTTGTTGGTATGCACACACGGATCTCAAACGAGACCGAGGGCCTCGACAGCCGCGTTCAGGAAGGAGGCACAAATTTTAGTGTCGGTCAGCGTCAGCTGCTGTGCATGGCGCGTGCGGTACTGAAGAAGAACAGCAGGTTTATTCTGATGGACGAGGCCACCGCGAATATCGACCCGGAGATGGATCAATATATCCAGGGCACAGTGATGAGGACATTCGCGACGTACACTGTGATCACGATTGCTCACCGGTTGCAAACGGTTGCACAGTATGACAAGATCATCGTAATGCAAAATGGCAGAGCGGCGGAAATAGGTAGTCCGTATAATCTTGTAAACAGACAAGACTCAATTTTTCGAGGCATGGTGGAGTCAATGGGATCCTCTGCCTCCCGACTATTTATGGAGACCACCAATGCATCTAATTCAATGCAACGTTAAATTCGGTTTGAATCAATTTCTTAAATTTGTAATCTCGTCAAAGTTTAACTCATCAATTTTTGTAGGTGAGAGCTCTGCTATTGTCTTTATTTATTTATAAAAAGCTAATTTAGTAAATCATAATTCCAGCGAATATGAATGCTGAATGTGGAAAGTATGCTTATAAATCACTTAATTCTGAAGTTTTTTTCGCAGCACATATGTGAAACGATTAGGGGTTATAAATAAATTTAAGATACTCTTCCCCTATTCTTGTAAGAATGTAGCACAAAATACGATTGCTGAGGTGTCAAGTTTTTTTCCTATCTCTGTATCTCCTATGCGAGGTCAGACTCAGAGGAAGGCCTTATCTTTATTTCTACCTTGTAAGTGAATACTTGTTCGAGCATAGAATGTTTGCTAATATAAATATTAGTCTAAAGACTTAGATAATTTGATGCTAATGAATTATTTTATTATTTGTAGGCTAACCTCTTTCCTCTAGATTTAATAAAATTCTAAGGAGTGAGTCTGAATTCGATGTAGAAATGAGGAGATGTTATTACTGAACCTGTGGCGATATCTTAAGCACTTAATGACTTCAATAATGTTTTCCATCCATTGACGCATCTTTCCTGGTGTTGTTCTTGTGTTACCTGTTTTCTTTTGTAGTGATAGAAAGCATGCGGCGTATCTTGCCAACACTGAATCTCAGCAGGGCTGGATCGCCACGATGGACGCAGACTTACTATCAGATGGAAATGGATAGAGGGTTGTTTGTTGCTGCGTTGCTGAGCTCGAGGCACTTTTTTGGCAACGCACCTGCGCGTGTGAGACCTGTGGAGGCACCTATAGAGAATGGATTCAGGCAAACGGAGCGAGAAGTCAGCCCTTTGATTGTCATGGCATTCGTTATCATTACTCCGTTGTGGCTACTGGCTATATTTTCCGGGGGCGAAGAAACTAAGAGAGAAACCCTCATGCAGTGGGCCTTGGCCCGGCAGCGAAAACTGGTCGTGAATCCGGCTTCTTTAGTTTCTTCTCCCAAATGACCCGTGATCTTTTCAAACCTGCTTCTTTCACGTACTTACGAGAGTATCATGGCCATTTCATTACGTTATGCCCTCCGCTAAAGGCTTATATTGTACTGAATGATGCCGTTTCCTTTGAGGAGGGCTCTTTATTTTACCTACTCGATGCGCGGTAGACGCACAACCTGTCCTTTTCCATCTTGGTTTCGCTTCGAAAATCAAAGGAAGTGTAATTTTCACTGCATCGCCTATTTTTTGTATTTGAGAATCAGTGCTGGCGTTAGTGTTAGCTTGCATATGTGCACACAAGGTAAGGAAATAGCTAGTTATATTCCATTTTAATTTTTCTTTCAATAGTATTGTACGCTAACTTTCATTCTAGTTTGGTAGTATAGGTAATGCGTCGTTTATCAACTCTTTTTGTCGTTCTAGGGGTTAAGAGCTCTGTCTGTGAGGTGGCCACGCGTGGCATTCCGTACTCCCCTCGCGGCACGATTCAGGACTATACTTCATCACCGAGGCACCTGTCGTTGGCCGAGATGCAGTTTGATTTCGATCGCCGCACGGGGCGCAAGACCAATGGGCTGTACGATGGGACCACATTCGTGCCTGGCGTTGGTGCTCAGCCAGCAGAGCGCTTTCCGTTCTACTACCCCCAGGAGAGCCCACGCTACGGTGAGTCCCCGCCGCCACATAAAGCCCTTGAGGACCTCCTTCCTGAACTGAGTAGTGGCTATATGGCGGATGTTCGGACTGATCCAACACATGCTGAGCTCCCTGAGCATGTCAGGGCAGCCAAGCAAAGTATTATGATATCACAAAGTGACAGCTGTGGCGAGGTTCCGCGCGGGTTGGTTCCACCACCGCCACCATCTTGTAAAGCTAACGTAACTCTCAGGGCGTATCAACCTCCTCGTGTCCATCTCCCTGGGTTCTGGTGGGCGCTTATATGTCTTTTTGTGTTTATGTTTGCTATTATGGGGAAGTATGGAGTCTGAAGAGGGAGGGGAAGAAAAGCAGTAATATTGATGTCCTTTTCTGCATACCCTTTCAATCGTCTGTAAACTACAAATGAAACATCTTTGAAGTGCATCAACACCTGAAGAAGCTTGCCATGCCACAGAGCGCATCAACCTCGTTTACTCACCTCTCTTTCACTTTTTCCGTTTCCTGATCTCATAATTTTTCGCTATTGGTGCTTTTTTGACTCTTTTGCAACTCGCTCTGGATCAATGGTGCTTTGGACTGAAGACCACAATCCAGCTTCGTCTTTGTGGACCTCCTTTATTTTGTGTGCTAGGTAGCCCCTTTTAGTCTCCTTTTCCGGATCTTCCCGCTTGGGGCTTTCCCTTTGCACCCTTAAAGGTGGACTGCTTCAGTTATGATGTAAATGCACAAATGCACAGCCATCTGCATATAGATGGTGTTTTCTGATTTAGAACTAAACGTGTTACGGATACCGGCAGCATCAATTTCCAAGGGAATCTAAACCTTGTCATTGAATTCCCTTTAATCGATTTTTTAGGAATTTTTAGTGTAAGGATTACCTTCATTTCTTTCTCTGTGTCGTCGAATGAAGCCTTCGAATTTGTATCGGTGCTATGCATTAGTTCTTTGGAAAACGAGACAACCTCTACCTTGTTTTTGCCTAAAGGATATTCCAATCGATAAAAAAAGGTTACACCTAAATATCACTAGCAGAAATCGAGGCTAATCATATTTTTGACAGTCCATTATTTTTTTGTACGTTTATATATCTGGATTCATGGCTACCACTGGATCTGGAACCGAAATATATGTCGAGACGAGTCACGAAACTCTCTCTACTCTGGATGAGCCAGTCACTCAAACCCTCCTCCGTGATGTAAGGGCTATATGGCGCAAGCTGGTTGTGGTAGTGTGCCCGCCTTTGAGCAATGATCGTGAGCTACGGGACTGGGATCTATGGGGCCCGCTCATTCTCTGCCTCATTCTGGCAATCACCCTAGCTACCTCAGCTCCAGAAAATATGACCGGAGTCATTTTTTCCGCTGTCTTTGTTTTAGTTTGGATCGGATCTGCGGTCGTAACGCTTAACGCAAAGTTTCTTGGCAGTACGATATCCTTCTTTCAAACCGTCTGCGTGATGGGCTACTGCATTGCACCGATTTGTGTTGGTGCTCTCATTGACATCATTATTCCACCCTTCTGGCTCAAGCTCCTTATTTCTGTTTTTGTGTGGGTGTGGGCGTGTTGGGCCTCTCTTCGATTCTTTAGAGGCACAACAAAACCCGAGAAGGAGATGCTCGTCCTATACCCTGTGGCTCTTTTCTACTTTTTTATAACATGGATGGTAGTGATGGGGGTGTAGTGGTAAAGGAGATTAATCCGCATGAATAGTGGATGCATTATATACTCTTCATAGCGGCGAAATTTTATATCTAGTAGTGAGATGCCTTCCTGAGAGTAAATTAATCTCGTTTTGTGCATGTGGCGTGAACACCCCTTTTTTTCGTTCTATCAAAGATATTGTGATGAGGCTAAGGCTAACAATCGTGAAAATAGATTGTTTTCAGAGTATGTTTATGTTATCCTCTTGTTTCTTTATATAATTTGTATCGCTTGCTTTTTAACCGTTTGGTAATATGGATTTGATTTCTCTCTTGTGAACAAATGCAAAGATGATGTCAATAAAAAAAAAATGTTTGACGAAAATGGCACATATCATATTACAGCCTAGAATTGAGTCGAATTCGTTAAATGTTTGTAGTCGAAATGCTTGAGAGTTGGTGTAGCTATTCAGAGAGTGCTGGCCAGTAAAAAAGCTTTTATAAAGCGGTATCCTTTATATGATCTTTTCCTTCTTAGAGTGAAAAATTCACAGTGAGGATCACAAAAAGAAAAACATTTTGCTTCTCCCTCTTTGGTTTATATTCGAAGGGAAATTATTCAGAGGAATGAGCTTCTGCAGGTTCACTTGTTTTGGTTAGCATGTGAGACATCAGGATGTCATCCGCTCAATTATCGGGGATTGGCTCGTGAATTTAGGTTTGAATATATATACACATACGTGCAGTAATGTGATGTTATTTCACACACAAAATGAATGATACTTTCATGATGATTATGTGGTGCCATCTTTGCACACAACGTTCTGAAGTCTCATCATCTGTGGTTTCAGCTCGGGCGAATACAGACGAAATGTGTCCTGATAAACCTTGTCAAACCCAACAAAACGCATTGCAGTTAGTTTAAACGACCAAAAAAACTTTCTATGTGGGACATTACATATCCTATGATACTGATAGATCATTAAAAGTGGTTTTGCACCATTGGGTACTTCATTCATCAGGTGAAGATGAGGAGGAGGTCGTAAGCACACGGATGCATCACGTTTTGACAAAGTTACTCCTCAGAATGCACAACATGCTCGTTCTTCCAATTTACTGAACGGCGGTGCTGTAGAAAATGCCTTCAATTCAGTTTTTATATTCACAGGAATGGGATACGCCAGCTCTTTGCTATAAGGGTCCTTCTATCACGAATTTTAGTGTCGGTCAGCGTCAGCTGCTGTGCATGGCGCGTGCGGTACTGAAGAAGAACAGCAGGTTTATTCTGATGGACGAGGCCACCGCGAATGTCGACCCGGAGATGGATCAATATATCCAGGGCACAGTGATGAGGACATTCGCGACGTACACTGTGATCACGATTGCTCACCGGTTGCAAACGGTTGCACAGTATGACAAGATCATCGTAATGTAAAATGGCAGAGCGGCGGAAATAGGTAGTCCGTAGGATGCTGAAGGTGCAAAGCCAGTAGGTGTTGTGCAGGATTTATCATTCTTTATATTTTATATTGTGTTAGTAATCGTTTATTATAATAATTTACTGTTGCATTCTAATGTTCTTTCGTTATAGGACGGTTAATTACAACCTGGGGTGCCATTTTTGCGAAGAGATCTTTATTGTATCCCTCGCGATTCGTGTCACATGTTGAAGTTGACGATACTGGCACAGGATGATGTGTACTTTAACTTTATTAACATTAAATTTGCTTGATCTACTGGTAGAATACTTTTCCTTTCTTTTTCAGCATTTTCATCTTGTACAAGCCTTTTCCTGTATACTTGTTTTGTGATCTTGTTTAACTATATCTCGACAGGTTGATAATGAATATGACACCTGTAGCTATCGTCACGGGAAGTGCGAAACGAATTGGAAAGGCAATCGCACTTCGTCTACATGACGACAACTTTAACGTATGTCTGCACTACAGCAACTCTCGTAAGGCATGTGAGGAACTTGCGAACACACTCAACTCACGACGGCCAGGCAGCGCCGCGACATTTCAGGCTGATTTTAGTGGTGGAATTAACTCTCTTGGTGAGGTGAGCCTTCCTAAACGCTGCGCCCAACTAATTGATTTTTGTTACTCCACTTTTGGACGATGTGATGTGCTGGTGAATAACGCTTCTGCATATTACCCAACACCTCTCCTATGCAACTCTCCCTCGGTTCGCGGAAATGACATCTTTGAAACAGATCGAATGGAGAAGGACATCTTGGATATCTTCGGCTCCAACGCACTCGCCCCCTTGTGCTTGATCCGTTGCTTTTCTCGAAAGGTGCAATCCCTAGAGGACGATCTGAAGTCCGATTCACCAGCGCAAAGATGTGTAGTGAATCTTTTGGACTCCATGATAAACATCCCTTTGGAAGGCTTTTGTCTCTACACCATGGGGAAGTTTGCAATCGAGGGACTCACAAAGGCGTCTGCATTAGAACTTTCCAAGCTAAACATTCGAGTCAATGGGGTTGCTCCAGGCTTGTGTGTGATGCCACCGGCGTTGTCTGAGGAAGAGCAAGATGTGGAGCGCCGCAAAGTGCCACTCGGTCAACGAGAGGCCTCCGCGGAAGACATCGCTGCTGCTGTGTCCTTTATGGTTTCCCCAGAATCAAAGTATATCACTGGATCTGTCCTTAATGTTGATGGTGGAATCAGTCTTAAGCGGGCCTGATTTATCGTTTATTAGAATATAAAATTTAAATATTTTCCCTTATGTATTCTAAGATGGGTAAATTTCAGCACGGCGTAAATTATGCTCTTTATTGCGGGAAGATCCTGTTCAGACCAGAATCGCTTTACTTCGAGTTTTCCTTCTCTTGGTTTACTTAAACCCATTTGGGTTCATTTTCGAGTTCATATGACATTCTTTCCGATACTTATTTCTGCTCAGTAATCAATTCTTTACCCTCTCTATCTCCACTAAGGGTCTCTTTCCCGGATACGAAATCGCAAAGCATCATTTCACTTATCAGATTTGGAATGCTTCAAGCCCCAGTAGTATCAGATATCCTCCAGGAGTCCGGACGTAATGGCAACGCTTCCCTTGCGTATGTCACCCGTGCAGTCCATGCTTTAGAGCTCTATCCAATCAGATCAAAGCTTCCGAAAAACAGAAGTCCGCCACATGGACGGAGCCAGCTACCATCCCTTGATTCCAAGAGTGATGTGGCGAAATCTCATGAAAATCCCTTTCCTACGGAAAATGAATCCATTCAAACCGAAGATACGGACTCGGTCGATTCCCTAGTAACCCTTCCCTACGCTTCCACATCAGCCCAGCTTCAGGCCCGCGTAAAGGCGGAGTTGGGGAAGCAACTCTTTGGCGCACTGAAGCAACGGCTGCAAAGCAGACAACGGATGCTTGCAAGAACAGCGCCAGTCCCGACACCTGTAAGCGCCAACCTAAGGGAGGCCGAGCCGGTAACACACTCGACGCAAGCCTCATCCCTTCGCGAGGCTCGCAAGCCAGACAAAGCCGCTGCACTTGACCAACGACAGGGTGGTAGGCGCACAGGAAAGGTGAGGCGTCATGCGAGCCGGTCGGCCGCGCCCTCGCAATTCAGTATGGATTATCTCGCGGGCGCCATGCCCACAGCTACGCAGTGTTCATGGAGACCTGAGATGCCGGCGATCTGTGTAGCCCAAAGTGTCTCCTCGCGTACTTGCTCGTTACTTATGACCAAAGGCGAGCGACTTCGAAGGTGTGACGTGAACGGATTATCAATGTGGCAGGTGGACCAGACCTCGGAGGTGGACCTTCTGCGTGTTAATCGCCTGAAGGCGATTCCAAACTACAACCGTGGTCTTTTTGCTGGTTTGGACTGTTTTGTGACGCGCAGCGGGCTCTTCATTGTAGGTTTGACGCGCGGGCCTGATGGGCGGCGCATTCATCCTAGGGCATGGCATCTCCTCTACGGCTCGGTGGATGCCGGGGAAGTGTCAAGTGGCGTCTCGGGGAGAGTTGGTGCGGATTTCATCACCGCGGAGGCTAGCGGCAGAAAAGCCATGGCACACTTCTCCTCACGTGACGACCGCGGAGACTTGGGCTCGAAGCATCAGAACTTGAAGCGTTTCAGTGATGTGTGTCGGAAAGACATCCTCAGGGGGATTCTCTCCGATGAAGAGCGGGTTGAGGCGGTGCGTCTTCTGAGATCTCTTCGGAAAAGGGCGTTGGAAATGGGGACAACGCCTGGGGAGCGGCAAGGTGAGGAAAGGGAAGAGGTGCGGCACCGGATCTATGAGGGCACCCCCTTGAGTGGCGATGGCTTTTCTTGTTCATCCGCAGCGAAAGATGCATCATCACTACCGGCTGTGCAGCCGAGGTATTCTACTGAAAAGAGGGAGGGTGAAAGTACCGCTTACGGCTCTGATTTCTTGCCGGTTGAAGCCGATGAGGACGAATATTTGAACTCAGATCTGGTAACCCTCAGTCGGACCCATACACCCAGGCGGTCATTGCGCCTTGCGCCCGACTCCTTGTTAAGGAGCGCAAGCGGTTCTGACATTTCCAACTCTCTCCTGGATCGAACCTTATTTTCACCTGAGTTGGAGCAGTTCCACCTCAAGGGCAATAAAACGCGCAGTTTCATAGTGGGCCAAAAAAGAAAAAGAAAGGTGCGATGGAGCGATTCCGGAAACAAGGTTAGTTGCTCCAGCCTTTCGATGTCCACTGGGGTTATATCTAGGAAAGGGAACGAAAGGGATTACCCTACAAGCTTATTCAACGAGGCTGATGTGGACAGCTTTTTCACCCCCGAAGAAGGCTCTGTAGCCCTGCCGAACCTGATATCAACTCTCCCCAATAAGGTCGTCACCCCAGATAGCACCGACCGCGATCATGACCGTGTCTCGTCAGCGCTACAATCGCCCTACGACGAGGTGACGATGCTCTCACCTAGGAACACGGACGTCTCGGTTTCTAGCGAAAATCCGCCGAACACTCCCAAGATGGCTCCTGTTAAAGTTCGGGGACGACGCGGAAAAGGCATCAAAAGTAAACTTTCGTCAGATCACATGATAAGTGATGATAAGAAGTTGGATGACGAATCTCAGGCAGACATACTTAACGTTAACTTTCCTAAAGCGGCGGAACACGTGCAGCTGCGTAAGGCAGCTAATCGAATTTTAGACGATCTTGATTTTGACGGTGGGTCATTCCTCGGGCTTGCAAGATTTTCTGATTATTCTGGAGATGACTTGGAGTACGACCAATTGCCCCTAGAGAATGGTAAACCGAACAACATCACCTCTGACAGAAGTAGGGATGCCCATGGACTGAAAGAGGTTCAAGAGCTCGAGGCACACATGGGGAGGCTACAGAACCAAATCGACACGGAAGTCGAGCAGGATCTGGCGGATCTAATTGCGAGGCGGGATCAGCTGAAGGCGGAAGTCAAGGAGCAACAGCAGCTCATAGATGCTTTTCAGATGGACCTTCACAACTTATCGAAGGAGCGGAAGGGAGCTAAGGGAGATGCGTTTGCGATTCAGCTTACTGCGGAGGTTAATCGATATGCCATGGAACATCGTCTACAACTCGAAGAAATATATCAAGAGCTTTTAGAAGACGATGATATAAGCATGGGGGGTTTAACCGAGAGCATGCTAAAGCAGTTTGTTAGGGGAAAATCGGAAATGTGTAACGTGGGTACCCAGGTAACGGATTATGATTTAGGATACATCGAAGATGACTTGAAGGAAACTATTGAGCAAATGGATGAAATGTTTTATCATGAGAAAGCCTTGCGCGATGCCATCGACCTTACCCACGTGGCACTATCCAAAATTATCAGTTTCCACGCCTCGTTGGAGCTCGAGTCGACCTGTAAGGAGTGTTTTTTTTTGTTTGAGCAGCCACGAACTTTGTGGCCGTGCGGCCACACCTTCTGTCAGCTTTGCTTGGCAGAGATGTATAATAAAAACGGTGATCTGTTGTGCAGTGAATGTGGCTCTGTCTGCATTGTAGGCTACACACCGAACCTTTCGATAGAGCTGATTGCGAGTTATCAGATGCTGCAAGACGCGAAGAGTAAATCCCCTTCTGGCGGAAAGACTATTGAAAATACACTGCAGAGTTTATTGAGCTTTTTATTATCAACTCGGGATGGCTTTGCAGCGCCTTCTGCAGCTGATACGCGGTAGTTTTTCCTGGTGCTTTATAAATTAGCTTTGTTGCAATTGAAGATTATGTACAAAATGGCATGGCCTATTTTCGTTTCGAATTTCACACAAATATGTGCAGTGCAAGTACATTAGAGAGGGAGTTGTATACAGACAAGGCATTAGTCGTATCATCTTATTACTGTGATGCTTGCAGTAATATATATATATACATATTGAGAGAGAGAGGTCAACCATGCCAATGATTTTGCTGTTGTTGGTAGTTTATTGGTTGACATAGCTTCTGAGCGGGCTTTCAAAAACGTTGCTTAGAACCGTTATCGCCTTTTTTAACTTCCACTCTCAACCAAATATTCACGAGGACACCAAAATACAATGATGTCAGTATTGTAGACAACACTGTATATACTGACGTGATACATACATACAGAAACATCCATACATGAAATTTAAGGCGTCTCTTCAGGATCCCCATATGCTTCTCCGGGTCCTGCAGGTATGCTGCAGGATCCAGCGCGGTTGCCTAATTCAGCTACACGCGACCCGCACGCGCTTTTTCACCAAGGTTGACACCGTTGATGAGGTGCAGATATGGGTGGGATGCCACACCAAAAGCCTTTTTAGTGACTTTCGCTGTGATTCACACTACAAAGAGCAGTCCATCACCTTTGAGGTGTTAGACATGAGTCAGTTTATTCACTCCATAAAACAGGCCGTCACGCGTCAACGTTGTAGTGTGGAGGCAAAACCACTCGTGATGCGACTGGCGCGGAGTGGAAAACGGCCGGTCCTAAAGCTTACCATGCAAGGCTACAATGGTTTACCGGATCTTAGTTATGACAACCCTATTCGCATTCTCAGTGAACGCGAGATCGAGGGCATGCAGGCCCCGTTACTCGATGACGAACGATTACAGGTTGTTATTCCCAGTGTCGTTGAACTTACCACCTTCGTTGAGGGGCTCACAAGTGCACAGTGTGAACGTGTGACCTTCTCGGCGGAAAGGCATGCAGCACCAATGGAGGTTCTCCAGCCCAGTCAGCAGAGCGGCAGAATTAAGGGTAGTCAGCACGGTCGCATCTCCGAAGGCGATACACTCGCGCCTCCCTTGGCAACTCTGGTAATTTCCGCAGCGAACTTCTTCGCCAGCTTCGCGCTATCATACGATGGAGTGGAGATGATCCCTCGCAAGGGCCATGACACAGAGAACAGCCAGAATGACGAAAACGACTCCGAGGAGGCTTGGGAGGAGCCCCGCGTCGCCACCGTGGTGGTGGATGTGAAAAAGTTCGCCAGATTTTTTTCGTCGGTACGCGATATCGATCCAACACGGACAAGTGTGTATTTGGTCCACCAGTCGGCGCTCGTGTTGAGCGTGTATACGTCCAACGGCACCACAATGGTCGCGTACCTTCCCGCCATGTCTTGACAAGGGACCGCTACTCATCTCTATCACGGGAGTGCCCTAGCAGCGGTGACTACGTCATTTTAAAAGGGCGATATGCTGCCCTATTGCTATAGAGGGCATGCGGTCCTTCTGTTCAGAGTTTTCTCGGTTCCATCTACCGTGTGCCTTTGAGAGCGTGACGAATGCGATTGTGCGGGAAACGTGCCGAATAGACGACCCTCTATTCCTCTTATAAACGGTCGAACAAAATCACTCACTAAAGAACAGAAAGAGTAAATACAGCCTATAGATTTTTCATGCGATTATTATGCTCCTTTGATCTTCATCCATGCTTTTTTTCTTCTTGAAGTGGATCTAACTTTAGGTCCCATTACTGTCTCTCGTCTGGTGTGTGTGTTCACCACTTTATACGTGCTTTTTTCCTCGTGCATGAAGGGAAGTGAGTGTTTATATCCAACCAAAGAAAGGCGAACGCCATTTTGATGCGACGTCCTGTTGGTTTAGAAAACATGTTTAGGAGGGTCTTCCCAGCCTTGTTGCCAGCATCAAGTGACAGTCGAGGTCTTCACGTGCCACGAGCAACCCTGGAACCTCCTTCAAAGGTAGCTCATGAAGAAACGGCGACCTTCTCAAATGAGGATTTGGGCATGGATGCTATAACACCATGGTCGGTTACTGCAAAGGGTCCCCGGGGCATTGACTACAGTCGAGTATTAACTCATTTTAAAGCACACAAAGTTGACGAAGCCGTGGTAGAAAAGCTTCGTGAAGTGGTTGGGAAGATTGCCAAACGCACGCATAGCAAAGATGCAACGTATCCCGAGATTCATCATTTCTTTTCAAGGAAGGTAGTTTTCTCCCATCGCGACTTTGGATTAGCGCTAAGTGAAGTCGAAAAGTCATTCCAGAAAGGGCAGCAACGCGTTTTCCTTTACACAGGGCGCGGTCCCAGTGCTAACAGTATCCATCTCGGTCACTTCATCCCTTTTCTACTCACGAAATACTTACAGGATGTTCTGGACCTCCCCTTAGTCATACAAATCACGGATGACGAGAAATACTTATTTCGTGATGTCCCGTTCACGGGGGATGCTGCGGACAAGATGATCTCTGAAAACATCAAAGACATCATTGCTTTTGGGTTTAACCCGAAGCGGACTTTCATTTTCCGAAACACGCACTATTTTGGCGAGTTGTACCCAACCGTCTTGAGGCTGCAAAAGATAATGACTTGCAATGCCGTGAAGCACACGTTGGGGATCGAGGATGAGGCTAATATTGGCAGGATTGCCTTTCCCGCCACGCAGGCGGCACCGTGCTTCGCCTCCGCGTTTCATTGTGTTCTCCCGCCTACGGGCGCGGCGATGCGGTGCCTCATCCCTTGTGCGATCGATCAGGATCCGTTTTTTATCCTTGCGCGAGCGGCAGCCTCGAGGATGGGGCAGTTGCCGCCAGCACTCCTCCACACGAAGTTCCTGCCCGCGCTCAGGGGTCCTGGCCACAAGATGAGTAGCAGTGAGTCGAAAAATGGCCTTATCAGTGCGCATGACTCCGATGAGCTGATCCAAAAGAAGCTGCTAAAGGCGTTTTCAGGCGGTAAAGCCACACTAGTGGAGATGCGCGAGCAAGGTGCTGATCTTGATGTGGACGTCGCTTACCAGATTTTGAAGTTTTTCTGCAATGACGACGTTCTTTTCCGAGATATCACTGAGCGTTACCGCTCAGGAAGGATGGATAGTGGTGAGGTGAAGAATTTGGCAGCGAACCTTCTAATAAGAGGAGTGCTGACAGACTGGCGCGAGCGACGAGCAAGGGTAACAGACAATCACGTGGAACAGTTCTGTGCAGTGCGAAACATTCTTGCCTAAGGTCCTCAGGTGTTAGTAGGAAAGAAATAGATAACGTAGAGAGAGAGAGAGATACGCTGCACCTATTTACTGTTCAGTGCGACAAGGACACTACAGAAAGACACTAATGTGTTCTTTGCCTCGACTCTATTGAAAGGAGGGGGATTATTCAGGGAGCTATATCCGTCTAATTGAGTGGAAAAAGCTCATCTAAATATTTTTATAGGATAAAACGTTTTCCTTTATATATGAAAGTGCACATCCTCTTATTCTCTTTTTTGTCTTTACTCGGAGATACAAAACAATAGAATTTCATAACCTACAAAAAACGCTGTCTCGTCTTGACAATTGCACATATAATTTTAAAATACACATTTCTACATAAGCAAGAGTCAAGTATAGAGACCTTTCAACAAAGCGTTCCTATTAGGGTACTTTCTTGCGAACCGAAAAGTTTGTTATTGCCTTCTTCGAATTTTTCATATTTTGTCGCCGATACTTTAGCTTTCGTATATCCCTTTCACACCTCAATATCATGGACCGAGACTCCCTTCACAATGCGTATGGAAAGAGTAAGAGGGATTCCAGCGACTCTCAGGGTTCCAAATTCCATCATTGGAGGCTATGGAAGCAGAGGCGGGATATTTCTAGAAACGTTTATTCCTTCTCTCCATGTGATGCCCGTGATTCCAATCCAGCATTCCCCGAAAGGTCAGCAGGGGAAGACTTGCACAACGCAAAAGAGCCCTTTAGGAGCTCAAATGACGCGAGCCCCGATAATCTCGCGCTGCATTCACCCCTGGCGGCTCCCCTTCTGGGCGGTGCCGACTTGTCATTGGGAACCTCATCCTCTTTGTTCTTTTCTAACGGCGTCGACAACGTTGTGAATGAGGTGTCCGAGTTCAGTAGTCATAGTGGTATTGCAGCATCCTTCCGTGGTGATAAGCGTATCAAGGAAAGCACTTACAGCGTGAGTATTAGTGGAAAGAGGTTTGTGATAATGTCGTATGCTGTCTCCGGGCATTGTGATGCCGTCTACCGGAGGAGCAAAAAAATTTGGGAACACATCCCGCTTGGAAAGGCTCGAGTTTTTCTGCATCTCCCACAGCAACCTTCTAAGGAGACCTCGTTCAACCAGTCACCACCGCCCGTTGCTGGTCCCACCCTTGGCGGCAGCACCCGAAAGGGGCCTGAGGAAGACAGGAGTGGGGGCCAATATGCGGATGAAAATCTAACGCCCGTGTCCACCTCTAGCCCGGAGAGAGACTACAGCTCTAGCAAGAATCGCTCCCTAGGCAACGCACCCCCGCCCCTGTTGCCAGTGGCGGCGCTGGATGGGATTCGTAGGTTCGGTGATCGGAACGACGCCATCGCCTACGGCTATGGCGTTAACAAGGAAGTCCCGGTGACCGCCATCGCGATGGAGAAGATTGACGGTGAGGGTGGGCATCTGGCTGCCTTCTCTCTTGACGGTACTCGTTATTGGGTAATCGGGTGTAGTGGTGCGTACTTAATCCTACGCATCGACGCCATCGAGGATCTTCGGCTCTACGACGACGACTTGAGTGCTAGATCTACCACCAGTCTAGGTAGCTCATCGTCGGAGCGCTCAAACGTGGCGTTGGCTAAGCGCATGGCTGTGTTGTGGTATCGACTTCTGAAGGCGCGGCTGTGTACCGAAAAGGTGGAACAACTTCACCAAGAACTCTCCACCCGACGGTGGACGTGTTGCTTTGACGTGGTCGTTCGCGGGTGGGAGCACACGGTGGACTACAGTTCGAAAATCGTGCAGGGTGATTCAAGGGCGCATACGACGGACCAAGCCGCCGTGCATGCCACCGACTCCATGACAAGGGTGCAATGCGGGAACAACCCTTGCGGGGGGAGTGATCAAAGTTATGGGGTTCAAACAGGGTATGTCGCGCCCAACGATTTATCGGGCAGTGGGAGGGATACTGAAGGATCTCTGATTTTTTATGCAGCCACGCTTGGTGAAAATTTAGAAAAAGGGCTGTGTGTGCCGGTCCTTAATGCGCTGGACTTTTTCCAAAGGTATCGCCTGCCAACCGCTTCATACCACGGCCCAATGGAAGTGTGCTCAGAGGAGTACAATGCTTATAAAGTTAAGATGAGTAGCCAGATCAACAGTGCGGGGGCTGTGCTGTACGGGGCAAATGAGCTTGGTGTCGTGGTGCAGATATGGAAGTGCCGTTGCTATCCACATATCATGGAGCGTGCCGCGAGGGAATTGATCGTCACCCACCAATTACAAGGCTCTGAGCTTCGCCAGAAGCTCGAAAAGAAGTTTAGCAGCTTGCCCAAAGGCACCCGTATGTATACTATTGGATGGGAAAAACAACGCGTTCCCTTCTTGATGAACTTTGCGGCTTGGCTTCACAAGACCATGCAACTCACGCCTTCAACAGACCTCAACACACTGCGGGAGCTGCGTTCACACTGGATCACGGCCCAGCAGGCGTACCAATGTGAAATGGCAGCTTGCAGGGAAGCCGTTGGTGATCCAAAGATGGGGGGGGTCTTTTATGATGATGAAGCCACAGGCGACGACAGTGATGCGCCACATACGCCAGAAGTTTTGATGCTCATTGGCCCTCAGGGCTGTGGGAAGTCTACATTAGCGCGTGCCCTCTTTGTGCTTCTTGAGCAATCAAGCTTTTCACCACGATGGGTGAACCAGGATGAGATGGCTAACCGGCGTAGCTATCTCGCTGCCATATCTCAAGCTATCTCAGAGGGTCGCTACACACACATTATCTTGGATAAGATGAACATCACCGATGACATGAGGCTTGACTACGTATCCATGGAACTCAACATAGTTTTAACCATCGCGTGGACACACCCTTTGGGCATGGAGGCGCTCGCGAGCGTATGCTTCGAGCGTGTTAAACGACGGGGTGCCAACCACCGAACAATGAGTATCATTCAAAACCTTGGCCACGTTAGCGGGACTGCCTCGGGGGCTAATCCCAAGGCTCAGCTTCAATGTGTTCGTGGTATCATTCACTCGTGTGCTGCGCAGTACAAGCTACCTGAAGGGGATTCGACTCTCCTTGAGGTCGATGTGACATTAAGCGGCAATGCCACTCTTCGTCAAGTGTGGTCGAAGCTTCGTGAACGTGGGCAACACAACCTTCCTGATTTTTTCAAACTCGACATGAACAATGCGCTGAGAAAGGCTAAAGATTACGAAAACCTAATCGCACAATACCCGCATCGTATAGCAGTTGCAGTGTTGAAGACTGACGACGATGCGGCGCTGCACGCGATCGTTCCCCCTGACATGGTGGGGGATGGCAGGTATAAAGTGAAGCTTGACTCTGTTCAGATTCTTCTCCACGACTTCAGAGAAAATCCAAGTCCAACCGCGTTTCTGAGGTACGCTGCGCTTATCAACCGCTCGGTAGTTGTGAGAGTAACAGCGGTTGTGGCAGATGAGAGGGTTACTTTTCTGTGCATTAGCAAAAGTGGTACGGATAGCGGTGCGGGCCTCCTGTCCTGGGTAACTCCAAGCGGTGTCCTTTTGAATTCGGCTCATGAATCCACTCCGGGAGGGGATTCAACGCATTCTTATTCTGCCGGCGCAGGGAAATGCAGTAATGTGAGGATGGGCGAAACTTTATTACCTTGCATAGCGGTGGTTGCAAAGGTTAAAAAAGTAGGCCATCAATACTGCGTAGAGCTGGCCCAGAGAGTGTTGAATTCCAGCGAGCCAGACCCATACTGCTCTATCTTTCCCCTACGGGAACAATGTCAGGCTACTTTTACGTACCATTTCCTAACGCACAGCGAATGCCCGTAACGCGTTGATTCAAGGAGGGAAAGAGAAGTGATGCATTAGTCACCCACTTTATGTTTCTTTTAGTCTCACCATTCCATAGTTTGTGGTTGCGTTTCTTTGGGTTTAAGAAGTGCTAGTATTTCTTACCATTAAATTGGATACCAGACAAACGGTGAAGAAGCATAAAACTTAACGGTCGTATGTCATTTTTACAGGCCCTAGCAAGGCTGTTCAAACCAGTATGCTGCCAGGGATTTATCTCTATGAGTTAAGGGGGGGGGGGGGAGGGAGGGAGAAATGGGAGGATCAAGTGCGTGCAATCTTTTTCCTTCATGAGTTACGCTGTAGGGCAAAGGTCGCTGCCGGCAGGACGCGAGGGCAAAGTCTTTAGAAAAGGCAGGTATGAGAAGGGGCTGCTCTGATGAGCGCATTCACGGTGCATCACCTGCGCAGGTTGGCAATGAGAATGCTGTCCTAAGCCATCGTCTCATGCGAAAACATTCTACTGAAATTCCGTAAGAAGATTATCATACGAATGTTGGGATGTATTAATGATAATGTTAGTCTGTCACATTGCGCTAATTACTCACACGCAACTCTAATGATTTTTTTTTGGGGTAATACCGTATGTTCGGTTAACTGGTATTGTCAGGGATGTATGGTATATTTTCTCTTCGATCTTCTCAAAACTTTTACGTTCGTTTAGATTTGCCTAGTTCGTCGTTTTATTACCGAGGTTTCGATCTCTAAGTATCGAACTACTAGTCTCAACTCGTTTGGCTTGTCTTGAATGAACTTCCCCATTCCATCATATAGGGGCTCTTCGAATTTTGAATCCGTGCAACCCAAGCATCAACCCCGACGCCATCAGTTGCCCGATGTGAAGCGAGCCCGCGAGTGTCCTTGCGCGATTCGTCTCTACGAGTTTAAGGAGGCCGCGGATCTCTTTTCAAGGCTGCACGTCGCGGCCGCGGTGTTGGGGGTTCCACCGGCTTTGGTTCCCGCCACGGAGGCCTTCGCGGCCGCACCGAAGGACAGGGCCGGAGGGGCCGCTCTCATGGGAGACGAAGTCGATCGTGGCGCGCTCGCATCGCGCGGGGTCGGCCTCCTACCCCCCCCCTCCCCCCTCCCCCCTCCCCCCTCCCCCCTTCCACCACGACGGTGCCGGACCCCTCTCTGGTGGTGATGGCCTGGGCAGACACCACGCTGCTGGAGCTGGCGATGCCGGCGCTGGAGGCGGTTCGGGAAGACGGCGATGCCCAGGCCCGTGCGGGGACGCCACACGCGAATCTCGACGACGAGCCCTCCCACGAATCGGCGCCTCGGGTCGTTTCCGCGAAATTCCCCCCCGCGAACCCCCCTCAAGGACCCAGACGACGGGAGACTAACGATGCGCCGCCGAGGTATCGAGTGGAAATGTGCGCAGGGGTGATCGATCGTGAGGGAAGGGCCGCCCTGGCGCCACTCGGTGTGGTGGATTTCCGGCAGGTCTTAGACGATTGCCCGTCGTTGCTTTTCCCGGTTCGACAAGTCGACGGGGTCCACCATGGCACCCTGCTCGCGGAGACGGCATATCGCCTAGGGGACCCTGTTTTCTTCGCGTGCTCACGGCACGATTAGTGCCTGGGGTCTTTCAATTGTTGGGGGCGGTTTTAATTAGAAAGAGGATAAACCTGAGAATACCCTGCGATTACATTGCGCTCGATTAAAATGAGTAAACATGAGGAAGAAGAACAAGTATGTCTTGAGGGATGCGTCTTTGTTCATGTCCAAGTATCCTATGCTATTCGTTCGTTTTTGCCCGCTTTACCATCCCTCTACCTACTATCTCCCGACCGTAGTATTCCTTTTATAATAGGCTTTATTCAATTCATTACCCAAGGCCCTTTCTTAATCCTTTGTTCTTTTTCCCCTCCTACTATTGTACTCACGTGTTTCCTGCTTGGATCGGCATGCCCCTAATTGAAGTTCATAACCCCAATGTTAAGTACGGGGAGGAACACATCGAATCCCGCTACGTTTACCGCAGCAACCGCGTCTGTCAAGGCGCAGGAGGTGCCATCCAAGTCGAGACGATCGACCAGACGTTGGAGTTCCGCACGGCGCGAAAAGTTCCGCGCGTGGGGGCCATGTTCGTTGGGTGGGGTGGCAATAATGGCTCGACGGTCACCGCGGGTATTTTAGCGAACCAACGGAAGTTGCGATGGCGTACCCGCCGTGGGGAGCAGACCGCGAACTACTACGGCAGTCTCACGCAATCCAGCACTCTCAACCTCGGTTTAACGCGCGAAATGGCCGAGGTTTTTGTTCCGCTGACGGATCTCCTGCCGATGGTCTCCCCAAACGACTTGGTGCTCAGCGGGTGGGATTGCAATCGGATGAACCTCGGCGATGCCATGCGCCGCGCGGGTGTTTTAGACGTCCCCCTGCAAGACGCCCTCTACGATCACATGAAAGGCCTAACCCCACTACCGGCGGCCTTTGATATCAACTTTCTAGCCGAAAACCAGGCCGAGAGGGCGGATAACGTCATGACGACGGCGAATAAGTGGGATACCGTAACCCAGTTGCGCTCGGATATCCGAAAGTTCAAGGCGGAGAACGCGCTTGACAAGGTGATCGTCCTGTGGACCGCGAGCACGGAGAGGTTCTGCACCCACGAAGCCGGTATCCACGGCAGCGCCGACAAACTCCTCGCGGCGATTCAAGCCAACGTCGCGGAGATCGCGCCCTCGGTGCTTTACGCCGTCGCCGCGATCTTGGAGGGTTGCAGCTTTATCAACGGCTCACCCCAGAACACCCTTTGTGGAGGGCTGGTTGAATTAGCGCAGCGCCACCGTGTTTTCGTCAGCGGCGATGACTTCAAATCCGGTCAAACCAAGATGAAAAGTGCCCTAGTGGAGTTCTTCGTGGGGGCTGGCCTAAAGCCCGAGTGCATCGCGAGCTACAATCACCTCGGAAACAACGACGGCTACAACCTCTCCGAGCCACAACAGTTCCGCTCAAAAGAAATCACCAAGAGTAACGTGGTGGATGACATGATCGACTCCAACAAGATCCTGTTCCCAGAGGGTAGCAAGAGGCCGGACCATTGCGTCGTGATCAAGTACCTGCCCTACGTCGGGGATAGCAAGCGCGCCCTGGACGAGTACAATTTCTCAATCTTCATGGGTGGGGAGCAGATCGTAGCGCTGCACAACATCTGTGAGGACTCACTACTCGCCTCGCCGATCATCATCGATCTGCTGGTTCTGACGGAGCTCATGGAGCGCGTGGAGATCCGCGTCGACACGGAGGACGGCGCCTCATTCGAGCCGATGGATGCTGTGCTGTCGATTCTCTCGTACTTTTTAAAGGCGCCGCAGGTCCCGAAAGGAACTCCGGTTATCAACGCGCTGAATCGGCAAAAGCAAGCCATCGAGAACGTCCTACGCGCCTTGGTGGGGCTGCCTGCTGATAGCGGCATGTTGCTTGAGTGCCGTATTCCGGCCCTCCGTGCAGCCCACGAGGGTGCTTTCTCTGCCGCACACCGAGAATGAAAACACAAACCCCTAGCGGTGTTGTGTGTAGAAAAGAAAAACTCGTGAAAGATAGGAATGATCATAGAACCGATTTTTTTCTTGCCTTTGAATTTCACCCATCTATTTTGTCTCTTTCTTCTTGACTCTTGACTCTACGTGGTGAGGTAAATTTAATTTTGTTCTAATCAAACCAGCGTTATCCAGGTAAAACGGGTGGGATTCATCATGGATGCCAACTTTATATTTCTGGAACAACGTAAAATATTGGCAATTCGGCCTCCGTGCGTATGGTCTCAGTATGGGGTGCTCATCTAAGTATGTGCACAGTAAATGAAAGTATCGTAACTCATTTCTATTTCTTTCCAACTGCTTGCCGGGTATCCCCGCTTGTTTTGCAAGTTTTACCAATAACAATAAAATCCCACCAACGGCAATAGGGAAAGGGCAGAAGCGTTATATAAATATATATATATATATATGTATATTTATATATATATATACATATTAGTGAATATTTTGTTTATGGTATAAGCCGCACCGTACTCTTCATGAACTCCATGCAAGGCAAGCCAGCAATGCTCATGACAAAGGGCGTTGTTGAGCTTCGTACGAATCCGGCACGTCTGGTTGGAAACATTCTCACTTTCCGGCACCCGGAGTCTAGGAAGGAAGTGACGCTTTTCCCATTACCCAACATCGCCTCACGGGCCTACTTCAAACGAACCTTTGATGCAGAAACACTTATGAGCCAATACGATAAAATTCTCTGCGAAGACGGGCGCCTTCCCTTCCGGGCGGGTACCCCTGAAGGAAATAGACAGGTCCTCCTCCGCAAGTGCTTCCCATTTTTCGCCCTTCGCCCGGTCGTTGCGGATGGCGAAAAGTTTGACGGAATTTTACAGCGCGATATGATTGAGTCTCGTATGGCCTATCAAATGGTGTTGGATGGCTGGGAGCCTCCGGTGGATCCTCGGGCGCGCCGTGGGGTGGAGCGAATCGCGACCTACGACGACGGAACTAAAATAGCCGTCCCTTGGGGCGTCTACCATATCCCATACTTCCGCTATCGCCTTCAGAAGGAAGGCTATGTGCAAGTTAGCGCCGAAGAAATGATGTTGCTTAATTTTCCCCAAGTTCTGAAGGTGATAGTCTTCTTCTCTTTCCTGTCCTTCCTGTTCTTCATCGTATTCATCATCGCAATCTTCGGATAGGAAAGAAAGGGTGATGGGTGGGTGCCAGTTGTGGCGACGATATGGTGAGTGGCTTCGATATCCAAAATGAAAAAATACCAAAAGACGATCGAGGGATGTGGGAGAAGGGAGGAGGTGAACTTGATCTTTAAAGGAAGTGTTCCGCGTGTCATACTTCCTATCGCTACGCATTCCCTTCTCTTCAATGAGCAAAAAAGAAAGGTTGAGAAATGGAACAGGGGAAAAGAAAGACATCACGCTTTTTTTGCTTTTTTATCGTTGGGTGCTTTTTCGCTTTTGAAACCCACCATCCCAGAACAAAATACCGTATTACATTGGTCTCCAAGTGGGTTACATTTTCCAGCATATGAAAGAACCCCCCCCCCCCTAAAGAAAAACGAATTAGACTGTCATACTGTTTGTATGGATTCGTTGGGTGTTTTTTTTTCAACTTCTTTTTCTTCTCATGTCTTGGGTTTTTCTGGTTTGGGGCAAGAAGCGATACTAAAACTAGAAAGTTTCTTAATTCATTGATTTATATGGTAACCTAAGGTCTGGTTAATGGAAATTTTGAAAACCCTTTCTGAAGCTGAGTTAGATAACCTTCGTAGCGTATTCAACAGCACCAACTCAAGACGTGCACTTAATGAAAGCGAATTCAAGAACGCCGTATACAGGGCGATTCAAGACAAGTCCATCAATGTTAGCCACGTATACCTCACTAAGCTATTTGCGTCCATTGACGTCGCTGGATCCGGATACGTTTCGTGGGATGAGTTGACAACGTTTGCCATCGAGCAGGCGTCCGGGCTTATCGTCGATTCCTGTACGGTTAACGGTAGCGTGGCCTCAATGACGACAAATCCACGCAGGAGCTCAGTTCGATCTCGCTCCAAGAGGACGGAGTCTCAGGAGTCTGGGATTAGATCGACGGGAAAGAAAAGCTTTCTGGAAATTACTCCTTCCATGCACACTGGAACACGAAGTGAAGATACCGCTCGTGAAGATTGGATAAGCGCCACGGAGTGCGTGTCTTTGAATAACGAAAGTATCTGTAGTAGTGGTTTGGGCTCGTCAGGCATCCAGAATGGGGATTCGTTCGACACCTTCCGTCCGTTTCATATCGACCAGGACTTTTCTCAGCCCTACGGATGGGAGGTCGTGAGCCTTCGGTTTATCAAATCTATCCAGAAGCTAGTGAAGTTGTCGCATGATTCAAAAGGTAAAAGCGTGATCTCGATCTATGATGTAAAAAGAGATGAACAGTTGAACTTCTATGCTGGAGTATTGATGCCGAATGAGACTGTACTAGACTGGGACTACATCCCCTCATCGCCGAGTTGTATTTACAGCTCCAACGCCCTTGCGTGTTCCTATAACGGTGGTCTCTTACGTTTATTCACGCTTGAGAAGAGAAGATTTGCGAATGACACGCTGAAACTCTTAAAAATGTTGGATGTACACGAGTCGAAGACGAACGTACGCTGGTGTTCGGCCTACGACGGTAGGCTGGCGATGGGGAATCGCCACGGCGTGGTGGGGCTGTGGGATATTGAAAGTGAAGTCCTCACCGCGGAGAGGCGAATCCATGACCACGATATCACTGCACTGCGCCCCCACGGCACGAAGCTCTACTCCGCTAGTCTGGATCGCACGAACTCCGTGAAGTTCACCGATCTCGAGCGACTCGAAATTCGAACCTCCTTCAACGATCATGGGCTTTCCGGTGCCCTTTGTCTGGAGGTGGACGAGGAATACTTGTTTTCGGCCGGATTCGAGAACAAAATCGTGCAGCGCCCGGTGCAGTGTCCAAAGAGCCACCCTACCTTTCTCTACGATTCCTTCCAGCCGCATGAGTGCTACATCACCTGCATCCGACGCCTCGAGGACGGCCCATACCTCATCAGCGCCGACGCCAAGGGCTGCATTAAGATCTGGGATCTGCGCATCGCCGGCGTCGTGCAGACGATCTCCATGCAGCAGGCCGTCCGACAGAATGAAAGGCAGCTGATGAGTCGAGAAGACAGCTCGGTCTTGGGAACTGTCCGGCGGATGACGTGCAAGGTGCCCGACCCCATCCACGGCTTCCACCGAGAGTCGAAGCGGGAGCGTCTGACGCACGAGGCGAGGGAGTGGCATCACTGCGGCAATGCCAAAAAGTCCACCACGGGGTTTGGAAGTAGTTCTACCCACCGCAAGCCACCGAAAAGCGTCCTCTCCATAATGGACAACCGCATGTCCATCAACACCCTCTGCCCCTTCGTTGCGTCTAGCTTTTTCGTTGCCATGCCACGGAAGCTGTATTTGCTCGGTTCTGCGGAGACCACCTGCCCGGATTTGGTAGACGACAAGGTCTCCTGTCGCTTTCTTCTGATCCCCGACCCGTCGATGGTCCTGACCATCCATGAGCGCAGCGCGAAGCTATGGCAGATTTCAAACGGCCACCTCGTGTACGCCACGGGGAATAACCTCCTCGAGAATGACATTACGGCCTGCGTCCTGGTGGAGCCCCTGCGGCGCCAATTCCTGCTCGGCTCCATGACAGGCGAACTACTCAGCTTTTCGGTCTCCTTAGGTCAGTGCACGCATTCGCTAACGACCATCCTGGAAGAGGCGGGTCGAGGCGGGAAGGAAATTCTCTCCCTGCACACCCTGCCGCGCTATCGGGATCATCTTTGCCCCTATGCGATTGTCAGCTACGCCGACGGGGTCGTGTTGGTGGCGCTGGCAAAGGACTATGAAGCGCAGAATGTGGTGCGGCTGAGTATTCTGAACAAGCTGTTAGCGACCAGCGGTGAGGCGAGTGCGGTTTCTGGACGCCCCATCTGTAATGCCACCATCCGAGATACCAAGCTGATGGGGAATAAGCTCTTTGTGTGCGACTCCAACGCGTATGTCTATGTGGTTAATCTCACTAAGAGTCAGTCCACGTTCACGTTGAAACTCCCACTCCTCGGTCCGGAGCTGATCTTTCTCAGTCCATTCCTGGAGTTGCCAAATTTCAAGAGCGAGATCGCGAACGACACGAAGTCGGAAGCCGACTTGGGGTCGCTGTGCGATCCGCTGCATGCGCGCTCCCAACCGACCCCGGGCACCGCCATGGGGGATCTCGTGAAGCTCGTTTTCATGGTCACGAACAGCACCGGCACGATCGTCGTGGGCCAATCCGCGCCGAAACCAAAGTACTTGTACGAGAGCAAGTGGAATTCCGGCTCGCTCGATTTCAGCGCGACCCTCACCCAAGCGCAGGACTATGAGGTGACGGCGGAGTGGCGTCCGTTCGCGGAGCGGATGGGGGAGGAGCCGATGTGGCGATGGTGTGGGCTGCTCAACCCCGATTCCCGAGGGGCCGGGATCTCCCTATTCAGCAGCGATGTCGGGATCCCCTTCCTGCGGGCGTCCTCGTCGTCCTCGACGCCGGAGATGCCGCCGGGGAAAGGGCTGCTCCCGCCGTTGGTGTCGTACCTGCCGGTCTCGCGCGCGACCACCGTGGGGGTGATCGTCCTCCACATCGTCTGGCTGAACCCCGACGGCGTCGTTGCGCTTGCGGATAACTACGGATATGTGCACATATGGGATCTCATGGACGTCCTCTTCCGGCCCGTCATCGACCACCCCCCGAGCGTGACGAAGTCGCGAAAGCAGCGAAACGCGGAAGGGGGTGGAGGGGCGGCCCATCGAGGCTCCATCCCACACGAGATCACCTACTGGCATGCGCATAAAAACCGCATCACGGCGATGAAATGCACCACCGTTTGCTGCCCATTGGAAGGGGGGGGGCGGGGGGGAGGAGGGGAAGGAGGTGGAAGCAGGGGAGGACCTCCCGTTGCTCATCACGAGCGGCCTTGATCAGCGGGTGTGTCTGTGGTCGGCCGACGGGGTCCTCCTCGGGACGTTTTCTACCGGGCGGCAGATCGACAACCTCTCGCACGGGAGGCTTTGCTTCCTTCCCTCGTACCTCCTCACATCCCACGGTGTCGAGGCGAAGTGGGCTCACTACCGTGCGCACCTGCACGCGCGGATGGCGGCTAAAACGGTGAACCCATCGGATCCCATTACTGCCGAACCTCCCGCACTCAACTACTCCCGCTGCGCGAAAGAGTAGGAAAGGCGGAGGGTGCGCACTCCATCGGATATCGTCTGGACTAGGCCACCATTACTTTCGGGCAGGCGGGTATATCACATGATGAAGCACGATTTGAATAAGGGGGGTAGCATGAAAACCTTGGTGAAACCTACTGCAACAGTATCGTTATCGGATTTATGTGTTCGTTTGATTCTTCCAAGTTATTCTGTTTGGAAAAATAAGTCGAAGGAAAAATGGTTGTCTTCTTTGTTTGACACACATCCTCTTCTATATATATTTATAAATATCCATCTTTAAATGAATATCTCTGTATATAGACTTTGGGAGCTTATAGCTGGTCAACAATGTAAGGAAGGCTATCGATTTTTAAACGAATTCTATACAATGTGTATATACAAAAAAAAAAAACGTTTAAACGTGTTGTTATTTTCCACACGTCAAAAATTTATCACCAGTTCGTTAAAAGGTAGCTTATTTATCTTACATATTATTATTATTATTGATAATAAGTGCATATAGTAGTCTGTTGTTCGCATTTTATGTTTTTTTTATTTTTTATCTCTCTTTTGATCTTTGACTCTGTTGGCTTTGTGTTCGGCTCTTTCTTGAGGAAGAGTATGTGTTGCAACACAACATTGACACTATCAAGCCCTGAAATATTATATATCTCATGAGAAAGGGGAAAATATTTTTTATTATGATCTCATCATTCATCATGTACATAGATTCACATCTGTGTAATACACATTGTACAAACTGATGCCATAACTTAATCGTGCTAGCATTAAAAGCTTTGATATTTCAATGTATAAACTAATATATATTTTTTTTGTGAAGTAATTCAAATCCTTTAAGCAGCAGTTTGCTGAAAATACCCTGGGCATATTTATTACTTATAGTTTATATAATCTGAACAGTTGATAATTTTCTTTTAAAAACAGCATATTTATTTGCAATCCATCTGATAAACAGGTGGTTAAAGGATGCTATCTTCATTTTTTGTATTATTGTTTTCCCCTCGATTTGATGGAGACAGGGACTCTATCGTGGTGTCTGGATTTGTGTCTCTGGTTTAGGAAGGGTGGTCAAGTATTGCCAACCTCTCCTTTTCCTCAAACCATGTTCTAGATTGATGACCGCAGAAAGCAGTTTATGAGTCGAGGTGTAATCTAGTTGATTTGAATCACTCTTTTTGCTGCAAGCACTCCTCTGTAATTCATTACTGTGCCTTGCGGTTGTGTCGATCTACGTTAGCTATAATAAGGAGAGAGATGGAACCCATGTGGGGGCAATATCCTGATATTCACAATATCGATAGGTACTCGATTTGAAGCGAGGAGGTGTAGATGTTGGAGTTATTACCAATACATAAGTAATACATCATAGACATATCCTGATCACTGTTTTTTTTACACATCACATCACTTTCTTTTTAATAAACACACATTCATAATTTTCTCCGATTTTTATCTGTTAAGTCTGGCTACATAAAAAAATATTTTTTTATATTTTCCATCGCTTTATCGAAATATTGTCACTCGGCGCCTGGCACCTTCGACCACCCATCACAAAGCCATGCCCCCAAAGGAGGATAACGTCCAAAAGCTCCTTGCAGCAGAGCAGAAGCGCAATCGTATGATAGCCGATGCCAAGGCGCGCAAGCAACAGAAGTTGAAGCAGGCTAAATTAGACGCGGAGCAGGAAGTGGCGGCGTTCCGAAAAGAAAAAGAGGATGAGTATCAATTGTACTATATTCAACAAAACAGTGGAGCGGATTCGGAAAGAGAAGCTTGTGCACGTGAGACCGACAATCAGCTACAAGAACTCAAGCTTCTCACCGACTTCCGTATGGATAGGGTGGCAAACAAGATGGTGCAGTTTATTATTTCAAATATTGAGTAATCAGGTTAGGCAGCGGTTGTGATGGCTTCTTCCCCCCGCTCCTTTATCTATCACGGGCACTTAAGATGGCGTTAGTGTCTTTCTCTTTTTGAGCCCTTTCATGGGATCCTCCAGGAAGTGATGTAATTCGCTAGATGCGTATAGCTTCCAAGGAGGGTGGAAGATGGTAGTATGAGGATCAGGAACAAGCTGTTAGCAGTAAGCATAAAATTGTTACCGCAATGTTCGTGTTGTAGAAAAATATACGTATGACCCGTTTACGTTATACCTATGGCAAACAGTTTTAAAGAAAGATATGGTTGAGAAAAGAAAACTTGGGCTGTGAAGGATGCGGCGCAGTGAAGACTCACTATCTCAAGCCACGCTACGAAATGCCAATATTGTCTTTGTATTTATGACTGGTCATCTCATTTTTGCGGTTCTAGGGTTATGAAATTCCTTGCAAATAAATGGAACTACTTTTCCTTCCAAAAGGGGATAGGATATTTCGAGAAGTGTGCGGTTGGTGAAATTGAGATGCTCACTGTAGCGTTTCATTCATCGCCATTCCCTGTATTCATGCATGCCTGTGAGGTCACTTTCCCTTTATATTTCTCTCCTTGTCTTATTCCCTTCCCCTTCGAATCATTTATCCTGTAGCATGGCGTTTTAGGAAGGAACGCACGCTCCTATACACACTTATCAAACGAGGGTGATTTCTTATTTTATAATCCAAACCTTTACCGTGCCCTTATTTTTAATATAGTCCTGCACGGCGAAAAGGATAATTCACCTTAAAGAACCTCTATAGGTAGATTTTCATTTTTGTACATTCGTGCATTCGTGCAGTCTTTACTTTTTAGTCGTTTACATAGCCCTCGTCAATTCCCCGCCTTCTGAGTTTCCTACCCCACCCTCATCAAGCCACTTTCATCTAGTCATGAGCTCTCCTACCGAGAGCACAAGCGGGGGCACGTGGAGTTCAAACGAGCACAATTCCAAAAACCGACGCCGGAATAAAAAACTGAAGAAGCGCAGCCCCGAGCTCAGCGCCTCGAACAACTCTCTTTCCGGTGATGCCAGCAACTCCGCGGTAGGCCGTGCAACCCCTCCCCCCCCCTCGAAGGAAGCCCCTTTCGTCTACACCCATCCGAAACCTCAGGTGATTACGGGCGCGTTGTTTATGTGGGAAGGGGTGGCGAGCTTCTGCGAGCCGAGCCAGGTCTGCGAGCTGGAGCGCCTCTCCAAAGATGTGGCGGCGCACCTGGCGGAGTCGAACACGTCAAACCGCCTGATGCAGCGCTACTGGAATGCGCAGTGGTCGAGGCTGATATGGGATGATGACCTCATATCCCATGAGAAGCGCTTTATCCTGCCTTCCTCGCTCCCTCGGAGCAAGGGGAGGGTGAATTGGAAGAAGTGCTTCGTGGAGGAGTATCCGTTATGGCTACAGCGCACGATCATGGGTAAGGGTAAGAACGACCGCGACTATGACGTCTCCAAGGTGCTTTTCCGCCGTGAGATGCTTAATGCACACCTGTCAGCCGAGGAATTGGCGGCGATGGAGCTCACAGTTGAGGAGGCCATGCACAAAGCCATGTCTAAACGCGGAATTGAGGTAAGTAATAATGGTGAGGTGGATCCAAAATATTTATTGGAGGATCAAAAATACGTTAAAAAGTCCCTGAAGCGTCGTGGTGAGGGTGGTTCTAATGGTACTGCGAGCCCGCTATTAGGCAAGGGCCGCAGCTGCCTTAACCTTTGCGACCGACCTTCCCAAGAAAGTCTCACCCGTGAGGACTACCAGTTTGACCATCGGCAGGGTTCCAGAAAGGGCAAGCACAAGAAAGGGATGGAACATAAATGGAGCAGCTTTGACAACTTTGGGGACTATGATTATTAGCCTCATCTCGACGAACTGTCACCTTTTGTGCTTTTCCTTCGTATATGTCTGGTATGGGGTCAAAAAAAATGCGGCAACTTTATGAAGCATATACCTACACGTGAGTGAGCGAGAGTATGTGTATATGCTCGCCTCAAATTTGTACTTTGGATGATTTTTTCCCTTCCTTGAGTCATATCTTTTTTTTTAGTAATAAAAACCTCAAAAAATTATATGAGTGCTCTGTGTTTTTTTTACCTTTTCATTGATCTCTTCTTCTGGTCCGGGTATAATACAGTGAATTATTTGAGGTGAGCAAATGGCACGCAAGGATGAAGTTGTTAGGACAAGAAAATAAATCAGAAGACTTTGCAAAATAAATAAAGAGTCGTCTGTTGATGAATGTTACAACAAACTTGAGTTTTTTTTATCATTATTATTTTTCGATTCCTTAAAATTGCGTAATAGGCTTACCCAAAAACTTCTTATCCCCCTTTGGTTGTTCTTTTGATCTTCGTTGAGGAACTGCATGATTTAAATAATTAAGTCTTCCTTCAAGTGGAGGTTGTAGCAGGATGCATTTTTAAAAAAAGTAACACATTTTTACTTGTAACTTGTCGAAGAAGTGTGAATGCCGAATGTGGAAAGTGTGTTTTTGAAGCACCTAATTTCTTCAGTTTTTTTTTTTGCAGCACATATGTAAAACGAAGAAGGGTTATAAACCAATATATGCTACCTTTCTCATATTGTTGAAAGAATATAACACGAAAGGCACATGTTGAAGTGCCAAGCTTTTTTCCTCTGCCTTATTGTCATCCACTCGGGGTGAGACGCAGGGAAGACTTTACCTCTATTCTCACCTAGTAAGTGTAAACCCGTTTAATCAGAGAATGCTTGTTGATAAAAACACTCACGATAGAATCTCAACTAAATAGATGGTTATAGATTATTTCGTAGCACACCAGTTGAATTGATTATGCTTTCAACCGAAGCAAATCTCGAGACATGATTCCAGGGCAATCTGGTCTAAACTCTTTTCTCCCCATTTGCAGTGTTTCCAGTCTACATTGGTACCCGGTGCGCCATTTTTACGCTTAGGAATCTATATGTATAGGAATATATATATGAGTGCTGATAAAACGCATATTAGACAGAGTGAAAAGCGATGAGCACCGAATCGACAACCCCCCCTTCCCCGGTCCCCCTATCCCCCGCCGAAGCGGTGTTGGCGGAACTCCTCTTGCGACTCTCCCGTGTCGTCTTACACCACCCTCGGCGGGACACCTTCGACGACGACCCCGCCGCGCTCTACCGCGCCCTTCACGAGTTCTTCGCGCAGGCCCGCGCGCGTCAGTCCCGGGCGGCGGTCTTCCGTCTTTCCCGCAGGGACGTCTCGGCGGTGCTGCGGTTCTGCCTGGGACATCTCGT